ATGCAAATAAAATTCTTCAGTCCCCAATTTTTGTGCATTATAGAAATACATTACATATATAGTTACCCCTTAGGGAGGGATCAACAGCCCCTTATGTTAACAAAGGTAAATGATTGTATTCATAATAATATGGAGACACACTAGGGTAGAACTGGAGTCTGAGAGGTCGAGTGATCAAGGGAAAAGGAATAGGGCTCTGGTCACACACACACACACACACACACACACACGTGTCCCAAACTTCACTACTTTTAAACTATGTGACATTGAACAATGTGTTTAACCTTTCCAAGCCCCATTCCCTAACATAAGAAATACAGTTGAGAAAAATCTTTAAATTTAGAAATGTAATGTATGAAAAGCACCAACTACAACGCCTGCACATAGTTGATGTTCAATAATGATAGAGATCATAAACAAGCAGGAAAAACAAGCAGAAAGATTAACATTTATTGGCAACTCACCTAAGACTCATAATATCTATTCTGTGATACTTAGGAAAAGTTTGACACTTTCTTCTCCAATCACATTCCCAAATTCCTCACTTTTGTTTGCTTCCTCTATGTCCTTGCATTTGTTTTGGCACCATATATTCATAGAGAAGCAGAAAGAAAGATGATGACCTGCTCTCTCAACCCTGGCTCTGGCCCTAAGAGACTACAAGGAAGGATAAAACAGGATACAGGGTGAAATTTTAGTTCCTGTATGATGGTGTAACTCACAGAACCATCTTTCCACCCAAAAGAACTACAGATTCTGGGGGGAAAAAAAATCAAACCTAAAAATTTTGACAAGTAAACAAAAGCAGGCAGATTACGGAGGTAATTGGAACCTTGAAGCAGCAGCAAGAATGGGGGTGAGTTTTGTATTTCTCTATGGTTTTGACTCAAATTTGGGTTATGGTTGCAGAATCTCGCTGCAGTACAGGAAGCTAAAACTACGTGGGAAGCCTCATTATCTTTCTGGCTGCAGGAACCAAGGAAAGAGGCTAGGACAACAGCTACCATGGGAAAATGAGGAGGGAATCCGAGAAGGTAGAGAAGCAGATGAATAGATCATCTAGTTCTATGCACAAAAAACAAAAATAGTTCAGGTTGACCCCTTAACCATGCACGTGTGAGACAGATAACAAGTTAGTGGGTATTTGAAAAGGAAAACATTAGCAAAATTTCTCAGAGGAATATAAAATAACCCAAAGTCGATATAACAAAACACTGAGAATATCCAGATGGAATCCAAAATAACTCAAAATACAAAGAATGAGAAAAATACAGCACATTCTCAATGACTTAAAGTTCCACATCAAAAAGCTATATTTAAAATTTAAAACTCATTTCAGACAAAGGACTTGAAACCAGAATATTTAAAGGATTCTTACAATTTGCCAATTTAAAACTGGGCAAAAGATTTGACAGACATTTCACAAAATAAAAGATATACACATGAATAATAAGTGCATTAAAGTGTTTATCACCATTTGTCACCAAGAAGAAAAATGAAAACAATCAGAAACCATTAAACATCATTTATTTATTTGTTTAATTTTTTAACATTTTTTGAGACTGCAATTTCAAACTCCTAGGCTCAAGTGATCCTTCTGCCTCAACCTCCCAAGTAGCTGGGACCACAGGTACAAACCACTACACCCGGGTAATTTTAACCCTTTGTAGAGAAAGAGGGATCTCACAATATTGCTCAGGTTAGTCCTGGCCTCAAGCGATCTACCTCAGCCTCCCAAATTGCTGGAATTATAGACATGAGCCACTGCATCCAGGCTGAACATCTTTTAGAATAGCAAAAAATGTTTTTTTAAAATGGGCAATATCAGGTGTTGAGCATGTTGTGTCCTTATAAACTGCTTGTGGGAATGTAAAAGCATACAATCACTTTAGAAAACACTTTAACAGACTTTTGGAAAGTTAAACGTATACCATCCATAACCCAGTCATCTCACCTCTAGAATCTACCTACTAGAAATGAAAACATATGTCCACATAAAGACTTGCACACAAAAATTCATAGCAGCTTCATTTGCAATGATCTCAAACTGGAAATAACTCAAATGTTCATCGGCAGTGAATAAAGAAAATATGGTATAACCATATAATGGAATAGTATTCAGCCACCAAACGGTACTTCCCTACTAATATATGCATCAATGTGGAGTTACTCTGGAAATTATTATATCTAATAAAAGAATCCATTATGTTTTTAAAATGAGTGCTTACTGTATATTTCCATTTTTATAGAAGTTTAGAAAATCTAAGTTTACCTATAATCCACCAGCAGTTGCCTGAGGTAGAAATGCAATGAAAGATGAAGTGCAAATGATACATAGAAACTTTTGGAGATGACAGAAATATTTGGTACCTTAGTTGTGATAATAGATTTTTAGTGTAAATATATGTCAAAACTTATCAAATTGTTCACTTTAAATATATGTAGTTTTATTGTATATGAATTTTACCTTAGCAAGAAATACAACATTAAGATAATAAACGCTACTTGATTTTTAAAAAGAAGATATGGTACCTACTTTCAAAGATTTTTATAATCTGGATGTGGAGTGAGATTAAACAATAATTTTAAAAAATTAATGGGTCTGGTTTGGTGGCTATGCCAATAATCCCAGCACTTTGGGAGGCCAACATGGTAGAATTGCTTGAGGCCATGAAATTCAGGGCCTGTCTGTGCAACATAGTGAGAACCCTCTGTCTCTACGAAAATAAAAAATAATAATGTTAGGCATTTTGGAGAAGGAAGGGGTACATGGAAAGAGTCACTATATCTGCTTTCATTCATGTAAAAATTAACTTTGAATACACAACACAATTAAGAAATAACAGTAGTGGCTGGGCGTGGTGGGTCACATCTACAATCCCAGCACTTTGGGAGGCCAAGGCAGGTGGATCACGAGGTCAAGAGATCGAGACCATCTTGGTCAACATGGTGAAACCCCATCTCTACTAAAAATACAAAAATTACCTGGGCATGGTCCCAGCTACTCAGGAGGCTGAGGCAGGAGAATTGCTTGAACCCAGGAGGCCAAGGTTGCAGTGAGCTGAGATTGTGCCACTGCACTCCAGCCTGGATAACAAGAGCAAAACTCCATCTCAAAAAAAAAAAAAAAGAAAAGAAATAACAGTAGTATAATAAATACCTTGTAATGGTTAAACTATAGATGCAATTAAAAGACCAAAGAAGGCAACACTGAGACAGAGAAATAAGTGAAGGGTCTTGAGTCTGGGCTTGAGAAAGGTAGAGGGAAATGAGCCGAAGTGGGGAAAATCATTCACTCATTCAATGAATATTAATAATCTACCATGCCAAGGCACTGAGCAAAATGCTAAGAACACAGTGGTGAACAAAAATGCACTAATCCTTGCCCCCACATGTTGCTCCCAGCCTACTAGAAGCAGTTATCGAATAAATAGATACACAAATAAAAATACAATTGCCAAAGTTTATTAGTGCTGTGAAGGAACAGTACACGGGAGGAAGAGATGCAAGAACTAAGGAAGGAGGACATGAGCAGAATGCACAAGATCCCCAGGGCATGTTCTGGATTCCATATTTAACATGCAACGTTGTGACCAGCTAGTGAAGAAAGGATGCCCTCTAAGGTTAAATAAAGTAGAGGAAATAGAGAGTACACTAGGCCACTACCCAAGAGCAACTTCGCTCCAGTCTTCTCTCCTAATACTACCAGTCTCTCTCTCAGGTCCTGCTTCTCTTTGGGTTCACATCTCCTCTGGCACCTTTCCCTTTATCTAATTCACTCTTTTTTTCCCTATTCAAAGTCCTGAAAGAGACAATCTGATTGGTCCAGGTTATTACCTTCATTCCTGCTTGAGTAAAGCTTTTTGTACCAGACCAAGTTACACATCACTGGCCAGCCTAGAAATTGGTTGCCCTTGGGCCACATGATCATCCTAATCCAATCAGCTATGACCAGGAGTCATACAGCACAGAAAAGGCTAAGGAAGAAGAACCTAAAGTGGAAGAGAGGATGTCAAATACCATTGTCAACCTCCTTAATACAGCAAGGAAAAAAAAGGGTTGCTCTAGTAGAGTGGAAGTAAACAATAGGAGGCTTTGAAAATCAGAGAATTGAGCCTTTTTATGGAGACCATTGGAATCTTACAAGGAAATATGCAGAAACTGACATGATGAAAGCAGAATTTCAGGAAGACAAGTGAATTTGTCTTAATTTTCTATTTCTTTTTCTATTAAACCATGCGTTGAGATTTAAAGGTCACAATATTATTTTCTCTTGCCCTCTCAGATCAGAAATGGGTACAGAGAAACACGAAGGTAACATAGCAGCCCTATTATTGATAAAGCTAGATTACAGAATATGGCTTAGTATTGACTTCCCCTTGAATTGACTGCCAATCGCTGGCAGGGTAGGGAGAGAGCTTGAGGAGTGGAGGAGAAGGCACTATTCTGTTCAGAGGGCCAATCTTAGGAAGAGAGAGAAAAGGTGGGGGAATCCCAGACACCGACTCACCACACAATCACCTCTTTGATCTTGGGAAGGAGTGAATAAAATGCTATTTGTCACAACTGGTCCTTTCTGAAAACTTGGCATGTGGCAAGTAAGTCCTTTCCTATAACATTTCTCTATCCTAAAGTCTTATCATTCCTCACCCCTGATTTGCTGGTTTCATCCTCTGCCAATACATAAGAGGTTCCTTCCTCCTCCTCCTCACCATTTTGTTTCTCCTCATTCAAGGTCTGCTCAGAATTCGGCCTTTATATAGGGTCCCCACAAGAGAATTATCTTGACTATAATATCTTTATTTTTTATCCCTCAGAATGTATAAAATATTTTATTGTATAGGTATTTTTCACTTAATATCATTACTCTAACTCAACAAAATTGGTAGTAAAACATTTCTTTCTGAAGCAAGAGAACTTAGCACCTTTTTAAAACAAGCAGCCTACTCTGGTTTTTCAGATGTCACCCATTAGAAAATGAAGCAGTAGAGACTAGCGAACAATACAGTCAGGATGGCTAAAGGTGACCCCAAGAAACCAAAGGGCAAGATGTCTGCTTATGCCTTCTTTGTGCAGACGTGCAGAAAAGAACATAAGAAGAAAAGCCCAGAGGTTCCTGTCAATTTTGCAGAATTTTCCAAGAAATGCTCTGAGAGGTGGAAGACAATGTCCGGGAAAGAGAAATCTAAATTTGATGAAATGGCAAAGGTGGATAAAGTGCGCTATGATCGGGAAATGAAGGATTATGGACCAGCTAAGGGAGGCAAGAAGAAGAAGGATCCTAATGCCCCCAAAAGGCCACC